TGACAGTTTTATCCGATTTTATTTTTCATTCTCAGCCAATTTAAATTTTTAAGAGTTAATGCAAAGGTATAAGGGAAGAGAAAAATAAAGAGGGAGACTCACAGAGAGAGAGAGGGTAGATAAAGAGTAACCACAAAATAGAGGGGAAGCACATATAATATATATATTTGTCTATATATATTGTCTATATATATTTGTCTATACAAAAACCACAATTAAAATCATCAACAAATTCATTTGAATTTTATTTTTAGATAATCAAAGCTGGAATTAAATTAAATTTCAAATAATTGCTGCAATTAGGATGAGCTGTAAGCAGTGATGTCAATTCAGACTATTCCAAGCTAAATCTGGCTTTGTTGATAATAAGTCCACTAAAAATGAGATAGAGAGGCAGACTATGCCTCTGCTCAGACGATCGTCTAAGTTGTCTCTATGTATGCAGCAGTATTCATTTGGTATTTATATTTAAGTGAAACGAAGCTGGAGTGCTTGCAGCTGCAGAGAGAGCTCCTCTTGGTCTCTTAGGGCTCGACTGCAACGATCTCTACCTGGCAGCATTTGAGAGCGTTTTAGTGGTTGAGTGAAAGTCGACCTATATAAAGGGCAGCCAGCTGCAGCATTTCTTCAGTCGCTCAGTCGTGGTGGGGGTCAATTGTCCATAGCAGTAAAGTGAAGTAAAGTGGAGTAAACTGAAGTAAAGTGGAGTGTGGTGTGGTGTGATCAGAAAATACTTGGAGGGAACGCTAAGAAGAAATACTTGGAGGATATATTTGTAGGAAATATTTGTAGAAAACAGAGTAGAGGAGAATTTAAAAAAAAAAAAAAAAAAAAAACACTTTGAAAAATGGAAATAAATTTAACAAGACTCCTCTAGAAAGTCTAAGAGGAAAAACTTAGACAAAATGTTTAGAGGAAACACTAATAGGGAAAAGAGGGACAAAATGACCATTTAATATATTTGATTTTTCATATTAGTATTAAAAGTCTCTATAAATAATTTGTTTAATATATTTTTTACTTTTCGTATATTTTCTTCTATTTTTCATCTAATTAATTTTTCATTTTCAACTATTTCAGCGAACTGTTATCCAAAATCCAACTTATTTCGGAGTTCAGCAGCTGACAGCACTGGCTGTAAGTATATAAATATTATATATAAATAAATAAATAAATTGAATAGTAGTTAAGTATATAAATATTTTATATAAATACTCTCTATATTGCCAATTTGATTGACTTTCGTGGCTGTCAGGCCTTATCTGCTTGGGCAATGTAGCGTATACGCAACATGCCTAATTGTTGGCCGGCTGAAAACTTTCGACACAACTTTCATTTGTACACATTTAGCTGCAGGCTAACAAGAAGGGGTAGCGGGCTGGAGTGGGCGTACGACATCAATAATAAATGGCATTTGGCAAAAGTTGTAAACCTTTTTCGGCACTTATCTGTCACACGTCACACAGCGCCAACATCATTTGTCAGAGCCACAGCAGAGCAGGAGGCGGGCAGAGCAGGAGGCGGGCAGGGCAGGAGATGTCCTGGCCATAGTCAAGCACTGGGCACAATATCCTCTTGTCACGCTCAATTGTTAAAAATGACAACTAATTAATTTCTGTCCGCCTGAGCTGACCAACTCTCAGCTGTATGGGTGTGTGTGTGTGTGTGTGTGTGGGCCACTTGGCTTTTGGTTAAAAAAGGGTTGCGATGGGATGTACAGAATGTTTTTATGAAAATCTGATAATGCCTAGATAGACATAGACATAGACATGGTAATGCTCGCAAGCAGTTTGAAAGCTGTTCACAAATGGCTTCATTAGAGGCCACGCCCAGCATTAAATAAGGCGGCTGTGTGTGTGTGCGTGTGTAAACATGGCCCGCAACCAGGTCGCTGGCACTTAGCGCAGATAAGCAGCTCAGCTTTGCCCTGCAATGAGGCTATTGCAAGTGGCTACTAGCTAACCAGCAGGGGATTAAGCCAAGAGAGAGAGAGAGAGAGAGAGAGAGAGAGAGAGAGAGAGAGAGAGAGAGAGAGAGTAGTAAGAGAGCAGGCAGCTTGCTTTGCTTTGCTTCACAAATGCCATCATTAACTGAAGCTGCCTGCTGGCGCTAGCATTGTTTGACTTCGGCTTTCGCTGCGCTAATGATTTGACTGTGTCGCAATCGTAGACACACACACACACACACACACACACACACATGCATACAGATGCCACCTTCTCTGCTCTGCCTCGCCTGCAACTTCTCCCTGTGGTCAGCTTAATGACTCGCCACACACAGAAAAAAAAACAAAAAAACTTTGCTAACTGCATTTGGGTGCATTAAGCGCCACAGCCAAATAAAACACATGTTCCAAACTGTTGACTACTTGGACTTTGCTCATTGCCACGCCTTCCCTTGCCCACAGCTAATGCCGCAATTTGTTGCCAAGCTGGGTTTATTACAGCGGGCGTTGCGCAGCTTCAACAGTTGCCCTGGTTACTTATGCAAGACATGCTTATATAGATCTACATATATACATATATATATACATACATATATATACATTAACTCCTACATAGTTGGCACTTGGCTACTCCCGAAAACTTTGCGACAAGTTTCCGTTTCTGCTATATACAATTTTCTTCATTTTTTTTTTTTTTTATTTGCGCCTCGTTTTGTTTGCTGGCGACTCTGCAGTTGGTGACATTTTCGGCAGCCAAAAACTTTTGAACTTGGCGCGTAATGAAGCAGCCCACGTTGGGTTGGGGAGGGGAGGAGTTGGTTGGAGGAGTGGAGGAGCGGAGGAGGTTGTTGGTGCAAAGTGCTCGTTTGGCTTTTGAGTGGAGTTCATTACGAATGCCGCCACGCTGCGTCGCGTGTTGACTTATGCATAATTACTGTTTTCTATAGCCAAAGCAGCCGCTGGCCAGGAGCAGGAGCAGGAGCAGGAGCGGGTGCGGGATGAGGAGTAAGGCTGAGCAAGAAGAGGCAGAGGCAGAGGCAGGCAGGCCTGGAGTAAGGCCAAAGCCAGCTGCAAGACTTGAGGCAGGGGCAGGGGCAGGAACAGAGTCATGGCTAAGGCTGGCGGGCAGAGCTCGAAGCAGCAGCAGCAGCCTAGCCTAGCCAAGGCAGATTGTCTGCAATAGGAGTGGGACATATTGCACTTTGTTTACCAGCGCAAATTTTCCTTTTTGCAGCTGCCAGCCAACTAAGCAGCAGGAGCAGGAGCAGGGGCAGCAGGAGCAGGGGCAGCAGCAGCAGCGAGGCAAAAATGTTTGGTGCAGCGTTTCATATGCTCATTTGCTGTGCATGACGCACTGACCTGTTTCAAATGCAACAAAAAGGAAAACGTTTTAAAGAAGAAGTGCAAGAAGAAGAAAATGAGCAAACAAAAAAAAAAGGCACTTGGTGCACTCAACTGGATTCTTAGGCTACATGGACGACCGGACGCGCAGCAAGGGAACTGCTGCTGCTGCAGCTTCTACTGCTGCCGCTGCTGCTGGTGTTGCTGCTGCTGCTTATGTAGCATACTTTTTAGCGCCCACTGTAGAGTTCATAAGACTCGACGGTGGCTGTCGAGTGTCGACTATATCAAGTTTTGACCAAAAATATTTATGTGCTTAAGCAGCGTCTAATGAACTCAGCTTGTGTCTTTAATTAAATGCAAGGGGACATATGTTAATTTAAGCTGGAGAAAAAAGCATTGACTGACTATAAATATTGCATAACTGTGTTTAAATATCTATAAGCAATATAGCAACCATATGTTTACCCATATCATCTGAATCAGATATATCATACACAAATATCTATACATATTTATAATCTATATAGTGCCAAGTATCATCAGAGCTGTGCAAACAAAATTTATAATACCCTTACAAGTTTTTCCATCGTACTTAATTCATGCAATTAAACTTCTCTCCTGTCGAGCAATTGTTTTCTCTGCACACTGGACTTACTCTACAAAGTGTACTGGCTATAATTTGAGCAATATTCCTTAATATTCATTGTTTGCATAGCTTATACTCTAAATAAACAAATTGCCTGCCATTGATTAAAATTTAGTGAAAGTCGTTATCATACTAGGATTTTCGTTAGATTTTTCAGCTGGCTGAAAGTCTCATGTCTCTCTATGCATGACCTACCTAGTTTTAACTCAACTCAATTCATAGACAGATAATCGCTCTAACTAACCTTTCACCTTTCCAAAAATATCTAGACTTTGTCAAGAAATAGATCTAGAATTGACTAAGGTAGTTTGTTAGTTAAGAATATATATATAGACAAACTAGTATAAAGTATATATATATAAAGCTATGGGCAGCTCATCTGATAGTCGTGCTATGCCTGAGCTGTGCGGCCGCCCAAGCAACGGAAGCCTTGACCAGCGAGCGGGTTGAGTGGGTGGCTGAGTTGGGTGTGCTTGGAGTGCTTGGGCGGTCAGTTTGCTGACGTTTGGGATAAAGTCAAGCGGATAAACAAGAGATTAAAATGTCATAAACAATGCCTTTTGAGCATGCAGCTAAAACAACTTAATGAAAGCTGCAGGTCACACGGGCAGAGCAAGCGCAAGAGCAAGAGCAGGAGCAGGAGCAGGAGCTGGAGCCGAAGGCAAGCATAAAGTGTTACGTAAAACTATTTTTGAGACTTGAAAGTTTTTGCAAACAATCAACACGAATACACAAACACACACTGAGACTCACACACACACACACATATTTATATACAGCCATCTATCTTTAATCCTTATGTGAAGTGTAGAGGCAGCCACAGCACCAGCAGCAGCAACAACAGCTGCAACCAAATGTGGCAGGAGGCGCAGTCAATAAATTTTCATAAAACTTTTGATTTGTATTTATGAGTTTTTTGGTGCGCTGGCAACAGTGGGAATTCAATTAAGTCGATACGATTTGTTCCACTTGTTTGTTGTTGTTGTGGTTTTTTATATATGTATATTTATTTATATTTTTGTTGGTATGTTTGTAAAACAATTGAAAAACTTTATTGTGGGCGGGTTCGGGCATACAGAAATGATTTATATTATCATACAAGGGCATACAATAAATTTTCGCCTAATGACAAAATAAGAATCGGGCTTAGCTTAAACAAATTCCTACACATACATTCATACATACACACACACACGCATAGCTCACACACACACACACACGCACACAAACATAACATAGTGTGCGTCCTTAAAAGTACATTTTTTGTGCATTTTTGTTGTTGTTAACACTTTCAACTTAAACGAAATACTGCATAAAAAGATCAACAAATGCAGCAGCAAAAGTCGGTGCAAGCAAAACTATATATATATATATATATAAAGATATATGATAAAATTTACGGCTGCAAAGTCAAGAAGGTACACATGTGTGTTTGTTCTTCTTCTTGTTTCGATGCTGAATGTGCAGCTTCTCAACTTTGTGGGCATAAATTTGTACATTGTATGATTTATAAATTGTGAGCGCTAATTTCCTGCCTTTTTTTTTTTTTTGTTTGTTATTTAAGTATTGATTATAGTAATTATGTGAAGGTAGGAATGAATATTGAATATAACGGATATCGGATATCTCTACTATATATGCACAAAAGGTAAACAAAAAGAATAAAGTAAAACAAAGATGAAGCTAAGACGGTGATAGCTACTCTACTCGATCTACTCGGCGCTGGCATTGATCGTGATGGTCTTGCCCTTGGGATCATCGAAACGATCCATGGTCTTGATGTCCATCATCCAGCACAAGCCCAGGAAGACAATCACCAGCAAAATGACAACGACGAACAGGCCCATCAAAATGCCGGGCGTTACGAAGCCCACACAATCCCAGGAATCGCCGAATGCGAAATCAGACGGCGTTGTATCACTGAACGGCGCTTGCAGCTGGAGCGAGGTCCAGGTCAGCGAGTTAATCTGGTTTTCCTTATTGACGGGTGTATACCAGGTGGTGTTGCCGCAGGTATACGAGAAGCTTGGCGGGGCGGTCACTCCGGGCGTACGGAATGTATCGGTGCCATAGGCTGCATTGCTCACCGTATAGTAGCCCTCCTCAGCGCCATAGGTAACGTCAAAGGTGATATCTTTTGAGGCATCGGTTGACAGGGCAACGGAGAACTTAATGCTGGTGGCGTTGGTGATTGTCATGCCCAGAACCTTCACTGGTGTCGTGGTGCCAGCGGCCTGGTTATAGTACTCAACATTCACGAAGCTAATGGCAAACTGATTGCCACTGAAGAACCTATTGGTAACCGTCTCCGCCGACGTCCAGCGACGGACGCGACGCTGCACAACGGGTGCCGTGGCGGGTGCAGCGAAATACAGATAGGCAACCTTGCAGTTCAATTGCTGACTGATGGCAGCAATGGCAGCGTCTGTTTACAGGTAATATGCACGATAAGAATTAATCAAATGAATGGACAGCTCTCATTGAGCAAAGCTCACCATGTGACTGGAGCGTAGCGGCACGTGTCTCTTCCACATTCTCGAAGGAAACAATCTGTGCGGTGCCTACTTCGCATTTGATTGGATGCACCAGCTGGCCGTTGGCATCGACGCTGTTGTGTTCACGCTTCTGGGCAGCGACACGCAATGCCTCAGCCGGATTCTCGACGCTTGTGTAATAGGTCTTGGGGCTGACGCTTTGCAGCTGAGCATAGCAGGACTGGGCCTCGTTGGTGGAGCACAGGAAATCCTTGTTGCTTAGCTGGAGTGAGGGAGACAGACACAAATGTGCTTATTGGTAATACACAAGCGAGTTTGCATTTGCACTTACGCCATTTTCCTCGAAGGCCACAACCATGTGATCTTTGAGCAAAGTCGTCAACTGCTCTTGAAATTCAGCCTGAGGCACAGTGCGCAGCGAAGGTTTCGTTGGACTGTTATTGAATATAAATAAGTGGTAAATAGTTATATATATATAATAATATTTGAAAAACAGCCACCCACCTGTTGGCACCCCATAGAAAAACGGGCGTCTGCTCGGCCAAGGCGACTCCAATGACGCACAAAGCAATCACCGATTTCCACAGCATTTTTAGTTGCGTGGCTCGCTGTTTAATTAAATCAAATTAAAATAAAATGAAACTCCAATCAATAAACGAACATAATTGAACACAATTAAAAAATAAAACCAACCAAAAATGAACAAAAACTACAAACGAAAAATGAGCTAAAACTTTTTCGTTTTGCACGGCCCGATTCTCGATTTGCGCTGTCAAGAGTGAAAAAGTTTTCATATGACAGGTCATGTGATGGCCAACCAGCTGACCGATTGCGAATGCAACTAATCGATATTTCAGTCGATTTGGCATTGACAGTCACGGCGACACAGTGGAAATTCATATATGGCCACACCGCAAAGCGCCAAAAATTACAAATTACTATCGCTTTTATGTTTTGAGTGATTATAGCTATTTTTAGGTAAAAAAAAATACAAAAAAAAATATAATTATACATAAGCTATTTATTAATAATAATTATTGTTTAGTATATAATTGGTTCACAATAAACACGAATTTGAATTCAAATATCAAATAGGCATAATATTGGTCGCAATATTTATGCCTTAAGCGCGATAGTTGCTATCGATAGCTCAGCGAGATGTGTCCTAATTAGAAGGCCATCACTAATAAAAGGCCGACTTAAAATCAATCCCGTTTTATTGTTTTGAGTGAATTGTGTGCAGAACAAAGAGAATTTATTTACTTAACGTGCACGGAAAGTGTTTGGCAATGTAGTGCGCAATAGGTTATACGAAATGCGTCTGCGACGCCGGTGGCATCGGCGGATGCGGCGTACAATTGAGAAAATCTATCGGCTTAAGATGCAGTCGAGACGAAAACTGATTTTCCTAGCAATATTTGGAGCACTCTGCGTTCTACTCTGGGTGGCAGGGCAGCAAATGTTCAATGCTTCAGATGGCCATGACAGTAGACATTATAGCGAAACTCACTGTGCGCCCATAGATGCCGTCTATACCTGGGTAAATGGATCGGATCCCGATTTTATAGAATTGGTTCGAAGATATGATGCCAACTACGATCCATCGAGATTCGATGACAAAAATGAGCTGAAATATTCGCTGCGTTCGTTGGAGAAGCACGCAAGCTGGATAAGGCATGTGTACATTGTGACCAATGGCCAAATACCCAGCTGGCTAGACTTGAACTATGAAAAGGTCAGCGTGGTGCCTCACGAACTGCTCGCTCCAGATCCCAAACAATTGCCCACATTCTCTAGTGCTGCCATTGAGACGTTTATACATCGCATACCAAAGTTGTCCAAGAGGTTTCTCTATCTCAACGATGATATCTTTTTGGGTGCTCCATTGTATCCGGAGGATTTGTATACGCAGGCGGAGGGCGTGCGCGTCTATCAGGCCTGGATGGTGCCCGACTGTGCCTTGGATTGCCCCTGGACCTATATAGGCGACGGTGCGTGCGATCGTCATTGCAACATCGATGCGTGCCAATATGATGGCGGTGATTGCAGTGAGGGCGGCATTGGCGCAGCTGCGGCTGGTCAACTGCAGCAGGAGCTGCACCAAGCAGCTGAAGCAGCTGCTCCCGTGGCCCATCCGCCTGTGCATAAGTTTCCCAATATGGGCTTGCAGCAGCTGTTCAAGCGCAGCTCGACCAACTTTAAGGAGCTGATGAAGCATCGCAATGTGTCCACTTTGCTGGAGCTGCGTCGCATTGTGGAGCGCTTTAATAAGGATAAGCTGAAGTCCCTCAATCCCGAGTTCGATGTGAGCAGCACCAGCTCCAGCAATTTGCTGCACAAGGAGGACTTCAAGTCCTCCACAGACATTTACTCGCACTCCCTGATAGCCACCAATATGCTGCTCAATCGTGTCTATGGCTTCAAGGCGCGCCATGTGCTGGCTCACGTGGGATTCCTCATCGAGCGTGACATTGTCGATGATATGCATCAGCGCTTCCAGCAGCAGGTGCAGCAGACAGCCCAACAACGTTTCCGTACGGCAACGGATTTGCAATTCGCGTTCGCTTACTATTCGTTCCTGATGAGTGAGACGCGAACGCTGAGCGTCGAAGAAATCTTCGATGAGTTCGATACGGATGGCTCGGGCACCTGGTCGGATCGTGAGGTGCGCACATGCCTGACACGCATCTATCCGCCACCGTTGGATTGGTCAGCGATGCGTTACTTTGAGGAGGTGGTGCAGAATTGCACGAGAAATGTGGAGCAGGATGTCAACAGCAAGATTGTGCACTCCACATTGGTCTATGAGCGCTACGAGGATTCCAATTTGGTAAAAGATGAAGTAGCCAAATCCGATAACATAGTTAACTAATTGCATCTTGCATCTGCAGCCCACCATCACCCGCGAGCTGGTCTATCGCTGCCCATTGCTGGCTGAGGCGCTGACCGCCAACTTTGGCGTGCGCCCCAAATATCGCTTTCACGTCAGTCCGAAGCGCGCCTCGCACAGCAATTTTATGATGCTCACCTCGAATCTGACGGAGGTCGTGGAGGCGCTCGATCGCATGCGTCGTAATCCACGCAAGTTCAATTGCATCAATGATAATCTGGACTTTAAACGTGGCGAGGACAATGAGCTGGTGCGTCATCTTCTCGAGGATTTCTATTTGTCCTTCTTTCCGCGTCGCAGCAAATTTGAGCTGCCGCCACAATTTCGCAACCGCTACGTCTCTTGGACGGATTATCAACGCTGGCGTCGACGTAAACGCGCCGTCCTCGTCGTTGGCTACGGAGTTAGCCTGCTTCTGGTCATTTTTCTACTACGCTTGCTCTGCCAGCACAAGGCGAAGATCGTGCGCCGTTGTGTGCAGCGACTGTAGAGTATATGTATTTACTGATATTAATATCGGCCTTAAGGTTGTGTTCGTTTTGCTTTACATTTCACTTAATTTCGTGTTGTGATAAGTTTTAATTGAGATTATCGCCATTTCCATTCTAGTTATATAGAACATTGAGCTCTGACTGTATCTAATTTAAGCGCAATCATGAGGCTAATTTTAAGCGTGGCAAACTGGAAAACAGAGATAATTCGATGAGGCTAAATGAACTCTACAATTAGTGTAATACATACGTAAATAAATAGAATTTTTAAAATAGTAACTTACTCTGGCTTTAACGGCAAATTTATTGCTTAACAGCGATTGTTTAGCTTTTTATGTGAGCAATACAAGTCTCTAACAGTGCTGTCAGTATTAACATTACTTTCGCGTCTTAACAGTTAATGTTAACAGCATTTGCTTAAACAATGTCTGATTTGGCTTGACTGGAGCTGTTGCTGTTAATTTAACACCATGTTGACTTTAAACTTCTTCATTTAAAAAACACATTTGCTTAAAAATGCTTTCTTCGTTTTTATTGGGACAAATCGCGTTAACAGTAATGTCCTAGCTAATCGGTACGAAAAGTGTACGAAAACTTTATTTACATAGCAGTGTAAACATGCCTTACAATTAGACTATAGTTTATTGGAGGAGACTCTGTATAAAATATATATTTATATATAAAACTGTTAACTCGTATAGCTCGTTAGCCAATGTTTTCAATGTGCTACATACTGCAATAATATAGTAAAGAATTGGGCTGCAAATAGTAATAGCTACCATAAGTATGTATATATAAAAAACAATTGGCAATAGAAAACTAATTAGGTTGAGAAAAACAAGTGATATGCTTTCAGCTGAATACACACACAAGCACACAGTACTTAAGCGAATATATATCTATATATGGGTAGGCATATAAATAGAAGTATGATATTGAAATAGCTAATGCAAATCTGCACACACATTGTCGAGCGCGCGTGTGTGTGTGTGTGTGTGTGTGTGTGTGCATTATATACATATGATATATTAAATTCCGATTAAATAAAATCAATTGGCCCGCTGCTATTCGATCCTGATGCGGGTCGTCGAACGTCGCAGTGTGAGGCATTCCTTGATGACCAAACGCATTAGCAATATCATGGCTATAATATCTGCCACGATTAGCATATAGAAGACATTCTCCCAGCCATGGCTGGATATGAGGCCCGCTAACAGTGGCCCAACTGCCGCGCCAATGGAGCCCGTGCCGTCTATTATGGCCGTGACTGTGGCCAAAGCATTGGCATTGCCCTCCAACGAGCTATGCTGACCCAGCTCAGCGCTAACCGATGTGGTGATCAACGCATACGGCCCATTCACAAAGATGCCGACTATGATCAGCAGCAGCACGCTAATCGTGACCGACAATGCGCCATATTGTTGATATAACAGCAGCTGGAAGCGCATAAGAAGATGGAAGACGTATCAATATATATGTATGAGAAGGGAAATCTGGACATCTTACTATAGGCGAGGCAAAGAACAACATCACTGTGCACACGGTGGCGGACATGCCCGTGAGATCGGATAGATAGCCCGCGGCTATGGCGCCCAAAATGCCGCCCACATCGAAGAGCGTAGAGAGATCAGCCGATAGCTCCGGACCCAAGGTACCTAAAGGAGTAAATATATATGAATATCTCGAATATATGTAAGTATAAAAATGTAATTTACTGGAAGACTGTATATAGAGCGGCAGCCAGTACATGAAGGTATAGCTAACCAGCTTGGTGAAGAACAGGCAGAGCGAGAACTCAACAACGCCTGGTATATGGAGTGCACCCATGAGGCTGATGGGACGATCTCTTGAGCTCGGACGAGCAAAAATGGGCGTGCGTTCAGTGGGCGGTGAACGAAAGCTGACCTGATCCTGCATTGATAATAGAAATACATTATTAATGACTCTATCAAAATAATACAATTTACATATATACACAGATATATATATTCTACATACTATACTAGATTCTACAGCAAATACAGAAAGCAGTTGAGAAGCGGCACACGTACAAAAACAGCGATTAGAATGGACATAGCACTCGATAGACATGCACTTACGGTTTGTGGTACGGCATAAAAGGACTGTGCATAAAGCTGGCCGTGCGTCGAATTATATTAGATGAGCGAAATCATAAAATGCAATAGCTGAAATTGGAAGAGCACAAAAGCCAGGTATACTCACAGCTTGGCTGCGACGCGCTTGCTCCTCATCATTGTCGCTGTCCGCATCCGATTCGTTCGAGATGATGCGACGCTCCTGTGTGCTGTGCTGTGGATGACAGCCCACAATCTCTGGCTGATCGACCAGAAACAGAAACAATACAAATCCAACAGCTCCAATTATGATGCCAGGCACCACAAAGGAGAGCGCCCAATCCGTTTCCACATAGTGCGCGGCAATCAGTGTGCCCAATATGTTGCCAATCGATGTGTGACTATTCCAGATGCCAAAGATCAGGCCTCGTTTCTCTTTGCCAAACCAGCGACCCACCAGGGTAACAACACCCGGCCAGCCTGTCGTCTGAAAGATGCCCGCGAAGATTTGCACAAATATGAAGTAGCTGAGGCTGTGTATATTGGAGGTGCGTGCGACGCCAAAGAGGTAGGTGAACACGCCCGTCATGATCATGCCCATGGATAGGAAATAGCGCAATGAAACACGCTCCGCCACAAAGCCGGAGACGAACATGGCAATCGCATAGGAGAAGAGAAAGGCGGAGTCTAGCATGCCAAACAAGCTCTTCGAATCGGGACCATCTGGGAAAAGCAAAAGCTTTAGCGATCAAATAGATCTACTAAGGAGAGTGGAAAACCCTGCCGCACGGCCATTAGGATTCCAATTAAACTTACCGAACGGCGCGTAGCCGCAATCGATGCCCGCATGAGGCTGTGAATCGGAGCAGTTGTAATGGAGCACGGATTTGACCACAGATATCGGTTTACGGGACATGTGGTAACAGGCATAGGCAGCGAATGTCAACAGAATGATGGACATCTTGTAACTGCAATGATAAGGTAGGCCATGATAAGCATTTGTAACTCAATTAACATCAACTCCGATCAATGGCTTACCAGAGTTCCCTGCGGGCATGAAATCGCGGACAGTGCCGCGATAGGCTCTGAAGGACCCGTATGCCAATGGGTATATCATTGTAGCTGTTACTCATTTTGCGCGTTCGCGTCACTGACGATCTCATCGACTGGCCCAAAGCACGCTCTCACTATTAAGCAGCTGAGCACGTCCAGGCGGGGCAGGTGCGTGTAGCTACTTATCTAAATTGAGCTGAAAGAGCGAAAGAGATGTAAATATGAGAGAGAGTTGAAGAGAGAATGGCGATATGCTTAAAGGAAAGAAATGAGAGAGAGAGAGAGGAAAACTGGGATATTTAGAGATAAAGAAACGAAGGCAAAATATTTGATGTATAAAATAAATCTTGAATTAATTTAAAGGCTAGCGCCTTTTCTGTTCTAGCTAATTTATTAAAAGATTTCGTATAGAAACAAAAATTTTTCTCATTGAAGTAATTTATCACAAACAAAAAGTCATACACTAAGCTGAAATAGTCCATAAATATAAATATGCACACATGCATTCTGAGTCATTCTAAATATTAATACTTTTCAACTAAAGTAGGCATTTGGTGGTTAGCCGAATGAATGTTCGGATCAGTAATAGCTTTTATAATGTAGTACAGGACAATCTACATGGGTAGCATGTGCTAGACACATGGTTTAGCTTAGATATATTCCGTTTCTTTATTACGATATCGTTATCATCGTGGCCTTTTCATAAACTCTACTGTTCCGATAATAACTTTTAAAAAGTTATTTAAGATAGTCAGGATTTAGCATGGTTCCATCGTTCCTTATAATATTTCTGCAATTTATATAAAATATATGTTTCTCGATCATACATATAAATTGATCTATCAAAAATTCCTATGTGTTATTAGAAATATTTTCATTATTAGAGTTATCACAAGGTAACTGAAAATATATTTTTAACCTATCGACTTTATATATTATGAATCTACACAGGTGATTGAATAAAATAAAAAATTATGCCAAGCCTTATCAAGGTAGCTTTGAAACAGACTGAACTGACTATAACGACTCGCAACTAGAACCTACATATATCAAGGCAAACCAGATGGAAGTTTGTACGTTTCATTGAAAATTTGCAAAAACCCTACACACAAATACAAACACAATGAGGCAGGTAAACTGTGGGCGTACATCAACAGGTAGTGTTGACTGTAGCGCTGACGCGGCTGAGGAAAACATTGATCGAGGGAGGGAGAGAGATAGTGTCGGAAACTCAATTGAGATTGTTGCACAGCGACCGCTTTAGTTTCCTATGAAGTTGTTGCCCTTATCGCATTTTTTTTTTTTTTTTTTGGTCTTCATATTTTGCGCACTAACACAGTAGCACATCAACACATCAAAGCACACAAACAGACACACTCAGGCACACACATTCATCCAAGCATATGTTGTCAGGGCTTGTAAGTAACAAAATGCCCAAAATGAAATGAAATATTGCCGGCAGATATACACGTATTGTTTTTGTAATAAAATTGTTATGCTGGCAAATTTGAAATGTGAATACTGCAACGTAGTTTATTTGTTTACTGATATCTAAAAAAATAAGACACTCTTTGTTGTTGTGTGACGTTGAACTGCGTCTGTTTGCCCTTGTTGTTGCTGCTGCTGCTGCTATTCTCTTTGCGTACTTATGGCAAACTGTCAGGGCAACACTTTAGAAATTCCCTGCTCAAATCAATTAGCTGATTAGTGTTTACTTTACCGTTAAACGAACATTAAACAAATAAATAAAAAAGCGTAGCACATTAAATGTTATATCGAATCGTTCGCTATATGTATGTTCAATCGAACAACTCAAGAAACTGAATGAGCGAACTGCCCAGTTCGGTCTGTTGTCTGAATTGAACTAACAGCTGTGACCGCTCACTGTTTATGCAAATATTTATGCAAGTTATCGATAGTTTATTGGACTGTGCCAAATCGAGTATGTGTTGTCATTGTGGAGCAAACTGTAGATATCATTCACATTCTGTTGTGTGTTCATTTTGAAAAAAGCGTGTCAAAAATGTGTACAAAATATGTTCAAATATTATGCAATGACAGCTGAAAAAGCTTTAGCTGTTTTGTAGATGTATAAGTGAATTTATTGATGCCAGCAAAGAAATAACAACAGTTGGCTATGCTCAAGTGGCAACTATTTGCAATTGTTCCATAAGTAATTGAATGAACGGAACAATAAAATAATTATTATATATTAATTTTGTAAAGTTTTTTTTTTTCGAATAGTTTTCTGAAATACATTACCTGTACGAGGAGTCGAGCCAACAGAAGACTGCGTTTTCTTTGAGCATTTCTACGCTAAACCACATTTAATTTGCGCGGCATTTGCTTTGTACCAACATATCGACAACGAAATAAAAGTATGTTAAGCGATAAGAAACCAACTCTGTTAAGCTTTAAGCGTTAAGAATCTGTTATATACCAGGGGCACGCAGCTGTGTTACTTAACATTTAATGCCCGCGGTCAAATTCAAAATTCGAATTGAAATTAGAAACCGAGCACTAAGTTGTAGTGAATAGTTGACTTGTGAAACATTCTTTAAATATTGTAAAATCGCACGTGCAAATTTGTAATTTACTTTGACAGTTTAGCTTTACCTTATTTTTCTCGCCACTGTCGAGATCATGCGCTAATTATAAAACGGGCACGCGACCGGATAAGAGAACCATTGTGTACACACCATTAGTCAGTTGTATTTGCGTTGACAATTCCGTGTAATTCGAATCAAAGTGAAGTACAAATCCAATTCACATGATTCGGCTTCTCTAGACTCGGCAACAGACAGCTCTATATATTTCTGATTTTATGAACTGCACAAAACAAAAGCAACATGCTAATTTCATAGACTTATTGCAATTGATTTTTACATGTGAAAAACAAGTTGAGTAATTAGAACAATACAAGGCGCTAATTGGAGCCAACTGCCGCTTAGCAAAATATCATTTAGCTCTATTGTATAAAAAGCTTTGCTGGGGCACGACTTAGTTACACTTTGAATTCCATCTTCAAGAAGATAACAGCTCTATTGTATCTTACTTAAAACAAAGCAATCAGCTATAAAGCAGATCAAACAGAATGCTGTCTACTAAGGTGAGTAAACCGTGTGAATTTACAGCTGAATTGAGTCTTCATAGAAATATCTCTCATCGTCAAACAGCAAATTTGTCAAATATTCGCCTACCTTATGGCCCTACAATTGATCTGTGCGTATCCCAGTTCCATTGAACCGAACCGAAGAATCACCGCAGACACTTTACAGACAGATGTAGGGTATGCGAAAGTTGAGCAACTCTACAGATTGGAGCGCAGCTTAAGCAGATTGCGACGCGCCGTGGCTGACCTGCCCTATGAGGAGGCCGATGATGATATGGAATTGGCTGAGATAAATGTATTTCGTCCACTGTTCCGCTATCGTGCCGAGGTTGCCAGACAGGTGCCAAGGCCAACGCAGCAACAAATTGGTTAATTGGACCTTCATATACCCTGTAATAATATAGGATACTCAACAGCTTCATCGATTCTCAATGCAATCATCAAATCAACACGTTTTATACCAAAAGTTTAGTTCATAGGCAATTAAAAGAAACAATTCAATTTGATTAACATTTAAATATATATATATATATGTATATATATAGTTTATTAAAGTTTTTATTTTATACATATGGTAAAATTTTTATTGGATTTCTTGAGTTATTTTTATTATATATTTATTGAAAAATATTCACATGTGATTAAGCATATATACACACACATCTATAAACAATTCTAATTAGTTAATTCATTATTTTGTTGCTTTTTAATTTACAAATATTATTGTTTTTTGTGCTTTTTCGGCCACTTGGCGTGGATAACACTCAAATTCCTTACATTGCAATGGATTTTCATATTGAATATATATATTTATATACAAAAAATGAACAACTCATAAAAATATAAATCAACTAAATTCGGAAGACAAAGACAAAAGAAAAGGAAAAAAAATATCCTACTTTAAACAATTGCTAAACTTTTCAGTTCTTATACACATATATTTATATAAAAAACTGAAGAAGAAGAATATTTGTTTGTATATAGTTATTAAACTCTGCTCAATAGCTTCTGGCGAAATTAAATATTTATAGTTGATTCTTCGAGCTTAAAGCTTAGAAAAACTTGTTCCTTCATATTAGGAAACTCAATTTACGTTTAGTTCATAGTTATATATTTATATAAATGTTGCATTTGCTTGGTTCCATAAAGTTGCTCGCGTTCCTTAAATTGTTGTTTTTGTTTTGTTTTTGTTTTTTGGTTGTTTTACATTAAATTTGATTTAATTTTTGATTATCAGGCTTGAAAGACACAAATGTGTCTGCACTCTAATGTGTGTGAATGTGTGTGTGTTTGTTTATCGTTATGGTTATCGATATATCGAAACCTGTTTGCATTTGTAAGGTTAGGTTTAGTGGTTCTTTTACTTTGGTTTTTGATTCTCTTGTTTTTATAGAAATATTCACATATAATTAAATAGAATTACAAATTACATATTATCTAATACATATTACAATTACATTTATTATATATGTATATATATGTTATATATACTCTCGTATAACTTGAAGCATTTGTGTTTTATTTGGTGTTTTTACTTTTCTTTCAACTGGTTTTTGAGCTGTTTATCCTCTTCTTTTTTTTTTTAGAGCACCTGCAAATTCTCGCAATGCTTAAACTTGGAATCCTCCTTGCCCAGTATCCAGGTGAGCATCTGTCGCGCCTTCATGCTGGCCAGCATTACGCTGCGGCTCTTATACCAATGAGCCGGAGAGCTGCCATCGCGCGTACCCTAGAAAACGATGGTAAGTCAGAATACTTGTATAGTTTACGCATTTCTTTTTTCATATGTGTATATTTGGAATATTTGTACTGGTTAAACAAACTTAGTTTTTGTCCGAAAATGTCAGGTGTTTGGTTTAGTCGGAAAATAGTGTGTTTGAATAACAGCAAAATGTAGCAAAGGAATAACAAACAAACAAGAACAAAACAAACATGATGCATGAGGTAAATTTTAAACAAGTCTTCTACATTTGACATCATTTTCATTTTTGGCACATCTACAAACTATGAGTGTATTAATCATATGAATTTTTAAGGGGAAGAGGGACAGACATCTAAGAGTATATATGTACAGAGATACACAAAGGGGAATATGACAGTTATCAATAACAAGTAACTGTATTTATCAATCAATTCTCCAAAGATTTTCATATATATATTCAGGAATTCAATATATTATCTATAATTAGGATAGTCGACTGCTTTCACGGTTATGTTCTGCATGCGAATTAGTTAATATTCAAAGTTGACGGGGGGCAACAATTGAGCTTGGAGCTAAGGGGTCAAGTAGTTCATTGAGATAAAGAAAGAAAGAGAGAGAGAAAAACAGCGAGATTGAAAGTGGGTAAGGGAAACTCGGTAACATTTAGAACGGAACTGTAGTTGTTGATGATTGTGTTGACAGCATTACTTACCGCATCGTCGGCCTTAAGATCAGTCAGTGTCAGACATTTATCAGTTTCTACAGTCTCTAAGTGCTTGTCTTTGCTATCTTTTAATTTAGTTTTGTCTTTAGACTTTTTTGGATTCAGCTGCGAAAGCGATCGATTACACATTACACATAGTACATCGAAGATAAATAAAATTACACAAATCAATGATAGAGATAGATAGATTAAGAGAGAGAGAGAGATCGAGATAGAGAGTGAGCGAGAGAGTTTTTGAAAAGCGATGATGATGAATAACAAATAATTGTTAAACACAAAGTCTCGAGTATTTCCTACAGCTAGTCGCTTCTGCCATCATCGAGGTCTATGGACATTGCCTTCCATTGCTCTCTATCAACTTACGTGCAATAGATTTTGATCCTTCTTCAAGCGTATTTGGGTCAAAGTGCCAGCGAGCAGTTCATCACAATTATGGTTAATGCCCACCGAAACCTCGATGAATTTGGCGCCAAAGGTGCAGGCCAGACATTTACCATCTAAACGAGTGGAAGAGCGAGAGAGAGAGAGAGAGGGAGAGAGAGGGGTAGATTGTTAGCTAATGAGTGTTGGTCACGCACTGCTGGCTGGACAACTTGCCCTGCGCTGAGACGGCGCGTGATCTGGCCAAATCAATTTTGTTGGCCACCAAAATGGTGGGTCGATGGCGCAGCAAATCCATGTCCTGCAGACGTGATAATATCTGCTTGGCACGCGTAAACGACTCCTTATCAATGCAGGAATAGACAACCAGAAATGCGTCCGCCTTCTCCAATTCTTCCTGAAACAAAACGAAAACAAAAAAAAGCAAAAAAACAAAAATTATTCAACAAGTTTTACAAACTCAACTCGAGACTCTTAAATGGCTTAAGCGAGTGTACGCCTCTGTGTGTGTTTGTGTTAATTTAAAAGGCAGCATTAAAAGTTAGTAAAGCTCAACTAGAAACTACATCTGACTGCGGCAGTCCGACCGCTGCATGCAACGGCATAAAGTGCCAGCCCACAGCCATGTCCTGCTGCCTGCATTCGTGTTTCCTGCTTGTTTTTTACTTTACGCTCGTAAAAATTAAAATTATGGCCACTTTGCTCCCATAACGAGGAACATTGTTCGCAAAGAGCGAGAGAGAGAGAGAGAGAGAGAGAGAGAGAGAGAGAGAGAGAGAGATGGTAGAGAGAGTGAGCCCACCTTTGCTTGTTTCATTCTATTGCATCCGTATCTAGGTTTGCCGCCGCGAATGTGAAAAGTTTCGCTGGACTTTTAATGATACTTTAAAGTACCGCCTAAATTAACAGATGTTTTGAATATTTTAGAAGTTTGGGTCATGCAACGGTTTCTGGCTGCACACAACAGTTACTGCACTTCTTATTTATTGAGGAATCTTTAAGTTTAGAGCATAGCAAATGTTTCTTTGCTTAAGATCAAGTTAACTTAGGAAGCAGATCCAAAGATTTTAGGAATAGAATATTAGAGCAATTATTGAAACTACATATTTATTGATTGATTCTTTCAAAATGTTGCCAGAGCAGTTTCTTATATACACGCTCACTCAATAACTGTTTAGTAAGTTGATAATTTATCGATAGTTATTATAGTTGTGTCATCTTCTAACGCGTCGATATCTTAATTTGTATTGCTTAAGACATCGAAGAATTCACATTATATATAGATTGCACATATAATACTTATAATGCCTTTCAATAACTGCAAGCTCTTGGCTCAATCGATTACTTATCGATACTATACTATATGTACTATGTATATGTACGTATACCCATCATACTTAAGCCACATATCGTCATTGTTATTTCGGTTTCTTTTTTCGCCGTAAGTTGCTTTCCCAAGCGTTGCAAATGGCGGATGTGACACTGCATTTTCTAAGTTTTTCCTACTATTATTCTTTTGCTTCTTCTTCTTTTTCTTGTTGTTGTTCCACCCGTTCTCCTGGCTAGCTGTTTGCGGTGTGGCGCAAAAGGCGACCATAAAGCAACGCCAGGCACATCCGGCATTTTGGCAGGAATTTACGATTGCCAAATGCACACAGCACAAGTTGTTAAAAATGACTGGAACTGTGCGTGTGTGTGTGTCTGGGTGTGTGTACATGCCAGCCAAGGTGTTTATGATTGACGGACACGCTTGTGTGCATTTGCCTTTTGCGTTGAGCCAACAAATTCGCTGTTGATTATTTGTTCTTTCAACTTTCAACTTTTGCTTAAATACGCTTTGTGCTTTGTGCGTCCAGAATGGATAAATTGTTGTCATTTCCTTTTGTTTGTCAACGCTGCAATATGCCTGTGCAGCCGCACTCTTTCTCTCTCTCTCTCTCTCTCTCTGTCTCTCTCTGTCTCTTGCCCCACACAGTCGTTGCCTTAATCATCGACATTATTGCTCGCGCCAAACTGCGTTGCCCTCAACTCAAGCCGATATATGTATATATACTATATATCTATATATATATATGTGTGTTTGTATATATTTTCTTGCCTCAGGATCACTCGGCACTCCCCCCGCATTCACTCTATCTATAACTTGCGTCTTTGTCGTCGTATTGCCCGTTGGGCTTCTTGCTGGTCATTTGGCATTTGGCCAGCAATTTGGCATTTCGATTGCATGTTTATCGCTTTGCTCTGTTTGCTCATGTTGTTGTTGCTGTTGTAATTGTTGTTGTTGTTATTGCAAAAATTGTTCAGCATTTGTTATTCTTGCCATTTGGCCATAACCCGCATTTCCCTCGCTTTCACAATTATGAGCATTACGTATGGGCCAGAAACAGCAGCACCTCTTCTTCTTCTTCTTCTTATATGTATTTCATAAGAGCATTTTGCTGTCTGTCATATACATATGTACACAGAGCTGAGGCATACAAATGATCTGCTTGATTCGCAATGCGCAGGTCCTCCATGGTCGATTTTAATTGCTTTTTGAAATTTTGATTTGTTTATATATTTTATGAATTTTATTTATTTCATAAATATTTATGGGCAGAAATGTGCTATAAATATTTGTTTTTTAACAGATTTTTTTTATTTTTTAATAAATATTTGTTAAATTTTTTGGGATACAAATTTTATT